GCCGACGTTCCATTTTTGAACCTGCGCAACGTTTTCCCCAGCGCCAGCGGGCGAGCGGGCGGGCGGATGGGCGCGCGCGCGCGCGCGCGCGCGGGGAGGAGGGGAGGGGAAGGGGGCGGGCCTCTGAGAGCGCCCAAGAGGGTCAGCCCCGCCCCTCGCGGCCGGTGCCCCGCCCCTTTCCCTAACTCCGCCCCTTCTCCTAACCCCGCCTGCCAGCCAAGTAGGGAGGCTGGCGGCGCGTCTGATGCTCCCGACTTACTGCGAGCCTGGGGTTTGGGCATAACGATCTGCGCCGTGCACCCCATCTCTCTCTCTCTTCCGCTTCCGAGCTGGGCGCGATCATTCCCCCCAAATCCTCCCAAGTGACTCGGAAGGTCCGAAATGGTGTGGCCCTGAAGCCGAGAGTAGCAGGCCTGGGATCTCAACCCTTGGGCAGCTGAGGCAGGGGGATCAGGAGGAGTTAGTTCATGGCCAGCCTGAACTACATGAGACCCTGTCTCAAATAAATTGATTACAAGGGTTGGAGAGATGGCGTTGTGTTTAAAAGCAATTGCTGCTCTTTCAGAGGACCTGGATTCGGTCCCCAACGCACACATGGTTCACAACCATAGTTCCAGGGAATTCAGTGCTACCCTCCGATCTACGCGGCACGGCACGCACGTGGGCAAACAGGCAACCACGCGTACACATAAACTATTCAAAAAAAAAAAATCTTAAGGCTGAAGATAGTGACTCACATCTTTAACCTATGTGTTCGAGGCTAGCCTGGTCTACACAGGACAGCCAGGGCTATGTAGAGAGAGACCCTGTCTCAAAAAATCAAATAAAAATGAAATTTTAAAGTGGTGTGGGGCCGTGTTATGCAATAGATAGGAAACAGGCAGAGTAAACCGGTCATTTGCTTCCCCTTCCCACAAAGGAGACCAGGCCGGGCGGGGACCTTGGCGCGGCAGGAGGGGGCGGACAGCAAAGGTTTCCCACCCCGGAGCGCGTAGTCCAGGCTAGGCAGTAAGAGTTCATCTCAGGGGGAGACGCTTTATTTTGCTGGCAGCAGAGCCCGCCACAGACTCGACTCCAGTGGTCTCCTCCACCTCCTCGGTTTTCTGCACTTTTGTCGCAGCTAAGTGTGGAACGAACGAACGGACTCCTAATCCCCGACGCAGCCCCCAAGCCTTTCTCTACAATGGCGATCAGATCGGAGTCGCCCCACACCGCCCGCTTCCTCCTCATTCCTGCCGCTCTGACCTCCAGGAGGTGACTCAGGGCCGCCCCTCAGCATCACCACCCCCACAACCCGGATTCTTAACAACCTCCTCTGGCTGCGCCCCCCTCCCCCAGCCCTGTGACCCAGTGCTAAGAAACATCCCGTAGTTCCCTATTCTTAAAATAAACTCTAAACACCTATGTTCGGCGGAGAAAAAAAAAAAGAGAGAGAGAATGCTATGTTGACACCTGAGTTTTTAACCAAGCGCAAAGAAAGACAGAAGGCAGAGGACGCAAGTACCCGTCCCGAGAGAAAATTAGCATCGTCAAGAACTGTATATCCCGAGGAAATGTCTGCTAAGAACAAAGATACAATAAAGACATTTGCGAAGACAGACACTAGGAATTTGACCATCCCTGAGGGGAATTCCAAACGAGGAACTGGGGGTAGAGGGTGGGGAGGAGGGGAAGAGACCAGCACACAGAGAGGTCTGATTCATTGAGGAAGAGACAATGAAAAACACTGATGGCACAAAAGCAGAAGCCGCGTTTTCCAGAGAAAAACAGACGGAAAAATCAACAGGCGCCTCGAGTAACTAGGGCGACCGGAGTTGACGTGTGCTAAGATTCTTACACATCCCGGAGCGAAATAAAGAAGGGATAAGTTGAGAACACAAGTTGCCAAGGTTAGGGTAAACACCAGACGGATGCAAACTCTGAGGACCGTGCTGTGCACAAGAGTAGTGGAAGAAAACCGAGGAAAGCAACCAAGCAAGAAGAGAGAAAGATGATCAGATGAGAGAGGTTCCGATGTCCTGTGACTCAGTAAACTTAGTGGACTAACATTGTGGTCAACTTTTTAAAACGCCAGGCTGCATGAAATCCCAGCAGACTCAAGTTACACGAAATAACTCCAAGGGGTGTTTGTGAGGCAAGGACAGTAGACGGAGAGGGCAGACAGACAGCAGGCAAACCCTGAGGGGGAAAGGCTGGCGCAGCTATTTAAATATGAGGGAAAAAACGCATCACAAAGACAGAGGAAGCCCCTTCACATTGAAGGTCCACGGCGCCGGAGAATGGCTTCTAATTGGCATGCAAAACACCACAGCTGGAAGTGGAAAAAAAGGGGGGGGGGGGCTGGAGAGATGGCTCAGTGGTTAAGAGCATTGACTGGACTGCTCTTCTAGAGGACCTGGGTTCAAGTCCCAGCACCCACATGACAGCTCACAACTGTCTGTAACTCAAGATCTGACATCCTCACACAGATATACATGCAGCAAAACACCAATGCAAATGAAATCAAAATAAATTAATTACAAAACAGAAAGTGAAAAAAACAAAAACAGAAGACAGGCACTTCCACCAACACAAAGGAATCCACAGATCAGACTAGGGAGGGCAACCTCCCCTCAGAGGACCAGCAGAAAAATAGTAAGGTATCGAGATTTGAACATGATTCCTACACCTGACTAATGGACTATTCTAGGACACAGTGTCAACACCAAGCTGCAGATTCTTTTTCATACAAAAGGAACATTTACCAAAACAGTTCACCTGGAGAAATTTTCAATACATAAAGTATATGATAAGGTGAAGATTAAAAAAAGCAAAATGCGGCTGGTGAGATCACTCAGTGGGTAGAGACGCCTGCCCCCCAAGACAGTGACCTGAGTCCCGTC